CCCGAGTACTCGCTACTCGGTAGTCGGCCGAGTAGGTACCGAGTAACGAGTTTTACAACCTTGGTTGGGATATGTATCTTCTGTTAGCGGAATTTTCGTATAACAACAGTTATCATGCTAGCATTGATCGACCTCCTTTTGAGATGTTCTATGGGAGGAAATATAGGACCCTGATTTGTTGGGGCGAGGTTGGTCAGCGAGTCATGGGGAGTACTGAGGTGGTACTTAAGACTCTTGAGATGATTCAGCAGGCTCTAGACATATCAGAGTCAGCAGAAGAGTTATGCCAACAAGCGCGGGTCAGATTTGGAATTATAGGTGGGAGATATGGTTCTCGTGAAGGTGTCACCTTGGAAAGGTGTCATCCGGTTCAGGAAGCGGGGCAAGCTGGGCCCCAGGTATATCAGTCCCTTTAGGGTTTTGGCTCGGGTGGGCCGGGTTGCGTATCGTTTAGATCTTCCAGCCGAGCTCAGTCAGATTCATAGCACATTTCATGTCTCTCAGTTGCAGAGGTGCTTAGTGGATGATTCCGCAGTCGTGCCCTTGGAGGATATTCAGGTGGATGACCGCCTGAATTATATTGAGAGACCAGTGGCAATATTAGATCGTAAGACGAAAACCTTGAGGAACAAGGTTGTGGAGCTTGTGAAGGTGCAGTGGCTGCACCGTAAAGGGTCGTAATGGACTTGGGAGCCTGAGGAGGAGATGAGGCAGCATTATCCAGGATTGTTCGAGACAACGTGCACACCTGGTCAGCCCATTTTCTCATTAAGAGCTTAATACATCAAGTCCTTACGTCCAAAGTCAGATCCAAGCCCCAAATGACGTCTTTGACCATAAAGTTTCCAACTTTATGGTTTTGCATGGCCAATAAGTGCTTAACACTAAAAACCTTAACTACTTAACCCATTAAGACCTTGTAACTCATGCATGGAAGGGAAGAAATGATCAAGAGCACATTTTTATGCTTCTAAGGAGCTCAAAACGTCTGAAAGGACATCTTAAATGGATTGGAGTAGCTCATACTCAAAATATCAAACTAATGGGACCAAAAGGACACAAACTTCATAGCTAACTTAGATCTATGCATAGCTTCATCAAGTTCAAAACTTTTTACCTCCAAATGATGCCAAATGGTGATGAGATTCTGGATCCAAAGAGTCCTACTCCTCCAAGATGATCTTCTCTTCTTTCTCTCTCCTTCAAGGTAACCAAAACACACACACAAAGCTCAAGAGTGCTCAAAAATGGATTAGGGTTTGTTTGGGGACGAAGGTGGGTTGGAGGCTGATGAAAGAAGGTAGGTTAAGGACTTAAGGATGTTTAAATAGGGTCAAAACCCTAAAAATTAGAGTTTGTGAATCATGCACTCACGCCCTGCGTACGCTAGGTACGCCCATCGTATGTGACCTCGGGCTATTAATTACAAAAATGTCACTATGGGCCATTTTGCATCATTTCTCGTACACAGGGGCTAAATACAATAAATCTTCATACTTTTGGTTTAATTTGGAAATATTCATCAACCGGATGTTACAAAAATACTAAAACTTTTTCAATATAATTTATTGTTTACTTGCTATATCTACTATCTATCTAGTACTAAAAATGTGAAATTTTTTGATCCTACACCCACTCAGACGCGAAAGAATAGTACTAAAAAGGTGAAAATGTCATTTTGCAAATTAGAGGGGTGCAAGTTATGCGTAGAAACATCCACCGGCACTTCAATTTAGTATATAGTATAAGCAGATAACCTTGGTATTTGTGATAAAAAAATCAATCAATCGAATAATACATTTAAATTTTGTGTTATATTGTATTCGTTTATGGTGTTTAATGTTGATCAACTTAAGGAATTATTTGCATCATTATTCTTTTATCTTAATTTGTTCAGTACCAGTGAAAACATTGAGATGCAAAAATTGATTGAGGTTTTAATAGGTTGAATAATGAGATTCAAATGTTATATGTATGTGTAATATTAAAATGTCATAGGTAATGGATAATAGTATGCTCTAACATACCCATTTTCTTTATAGGTTTAATGTTATAAACTGGTTGCAAAACTATTTTCTTGTTAACAAAATCCTATTTCATTAAAATTGTACATGGTATTAAATTTTTTGACTTAAAACTCTCCTCAAATAGAAATTGTAAGCTTTTGCTTCTTCAGAAATCTCATTGCTTTCTCAATTAACCCAACTTCAACATTTTTCTCTTCCTATAACAAGACATACATACCTGAAGATACAAATTTTTATGAAATTTAAAAAAATTATAACTCTTTATTTACTGGAGATATGGTATTGAAGATAATTTGCATCTTGGATTTCTTTGGGGCTCCAAGTATAAAAGTCGTATATCCTAATGTTTGTAACTCTTCTTTCAGTTGTTGGTACCTATTAAAAAACAATTAAAATTAGGGC